GGAGTCTCAGAGCGGCTTACAAACTCCTTCCCCTCCCCACAACAGAAACCCTGTGAGGTAGGTCGGGCTGAGAGAGCTCTTTCCAGAACTGTCCTTGAGAGAATTAATGATGACCTCGGTAACAGCCTTGGCTCTCCCAGAATAAATCTATCAATGGCTACTAGCTGTGGTGACTGAGGGGAACCTCCACATTCAGAGGCACTAAACCTCTGAATCCCAGAGCCAGGAGGCAACTTCCGGGGAAGGCCTCGGCCTCTCTGCCCTGTGGTCGGCCCTCCAGGGGAACTGGTTGAGGGCACTGTTGTGTGAGACAGGATGCTGGGCGGGGACCACTGATCTGATCCAGCAGGGCTCTTCTTATGGAATTACAACTGTTCTCCAGACAGCTCCAGACTCCAAGGCACTCTATGGCCTCAGAGGTCCCTCCCCTCCCCAAATCCTGCCCTCTCCAGGCTCCGCCCCCAAATATCCAGGAATTTCCCAACCTGCACTTGGCAACCTACAGAGATTTGATTCTTAAGAGCTGGGGAAGGGTGTTATTGGGAGGGAAAGTAGAAGTCGGATCTACATGGATCCTCCACGTTTTAAAAGAGAACTCCACCAAATCCAGTATCAAATCACACGTGGAAGCCAAAATGGCGGACTGGACCATAAGAAACATGGATCCAGCACATCCGACTTTCACCCAGCCCTGTTATTGTGGACCTTTTAAAAACACTGGGTGCTTTTGCATTGGGAAATGTGGTTCCTATGTTACTCGGGCCAATTAGAACGACCCTGCAGTTGTATATTCAAAGAGAAGGGTGGAAAGCTTCAAGTTATTCCCAAAGATTCATTGTAAGAAGCCTTACCTGGCTTTATTAGCATCATATTTCCAAAATTCAGTAAGAAATGAGCAAGTCTGTATATTCCAAAGGAGAAATTTATGCCATAGTATTTTTTCAAGCATTTGTTTCCATATGACAATGAACCCTCAAATATGCCCCAGTTCCATAACTCTACCATAAGCGAGGCAAGAGCACAATACAAAAAAAAAAGGGGGGGGGAGCAAGCGTTAAGATCTCACATGTGCTGAACTGGAAGACTCAGCCTAGTCTGCTCTGGTTAGATCTTGGAAGCTAAGTAGGGTTGGCCCTGGTTAGTATTTGGATGGGAGACCACCAAGGAATACCAGGGTCATTATGCAGAGGCAGGCAATGTCCAGCCACCTCTGAACTCTTGCCTTGAAACATCTATGGGACCAGTGTTCCCTCTACGCTGAGTTAGTGTGAGCTAGCTCACAGTTTTTTTAGCCTCCGGCTCACACATTTTTTGTCTTAGCTCAGGAAGGATGGCTCCAGAGCAAGCTCATTTATGCAGCAGCCAAATCGGTCGCTCAGAACTTTAATGCCAGTAGCTCACAAAGTGGAATTTTTGCTCACGAGACTCCACAGCTTAGAGGGAACATTGTATGGGACCCTGTAAGTCAGCTGTAACTTAAAAAAATATATTTATATGTAAAGTTAGAAATTACAGTAGTCAAACAATTAACATGAGTATCTCTCCCCTTATATAAAGCCGTAGTGGGGTCCAACGTTCCAATGCACACCTACAGTGTTTGGGTGCAAGAAATGTCAGTCAGAAAACGCTGGCTGGGTTGGCTGGCTGCTTTGTGTAGTCCCGCCCACGTCAGTCCCGGCTAGCATCTTCAGCTCAGTCTGCTCTGGGCCTCTGACAGGAGAGGACCATCTGCAGACTGAGCGCAGGGACGAGGTTTCTACGGCTGGGCTGCTTCACACAAGGGGACCCAGGTAAGGGGATGGAATTATGTGGGAAACCCCAGGACAGAGCGGCGACCGAGCTGCCTGTGCCTTCGGGTGGGGGTGTTCCTGGTGCGTGTGGAGAGGGAGGCAAGTCAGCGGCCGCCGTTGGCCTGAGTTCTCTCCCACCCACTGCAGCCTAGGCCACTCTTCTCTGATTGGGCCAGTGTTTCAATGTCATTTGCATATGGAAACTGATTTGTCTTCACTCAGTTGCATATGGGACCTGGTGTATTCTGAGGTAAAATATGTCCTCACTCACAACACATCACTTCCCTTTCAAAAGAAACAAACCCAATAACACAATCATGCCACACCATAAAAAAGACAGATCACACCACAAGCAGAATACCACAAGGCAAAAAATGATAGGAAAAGGTGCCAGCAGTCACCCCATTACTGCCACAGATATGTACCTGAAAGCTCTTCAGAGGATGGTGTGCAGGTCCCAGGTTCATGTTTTAAAGCTGCCTGGGGGATTATGGACATTCACAGACTTTCAACCTTAACATACCTCATAGGGTAGTTGTGCGGATCATATGGGGGGGGGAGGAGAATGATGTCAGCTGCTTTGGTTCCCACTGCAGGGAAAGACTGCCATTTCCCTAGGCAGAGGCTGTGTGGAGGGGTGTGTGTGTAAAAGACGGGCAGATAAAGGTAGGCTGATGGTTGCCTGGAAAGGACATAGGGTTGACAACTCCAGGTTGGAAACTTCAAGGATATTTTAGGGATGAAGTGTGCTGAGGGTGGGGTCTGAAGAGGAGGAAGAGGGGGAACCTCAGACAGATACGCCATAGACCCCACTCTCCAAACAAGCTGTTGCCAATCTCCAGGTGACAGCTGGAGAACTCTTAAAGCTCTGGTGCTAATTCAAAGTGCTGGGGATGTGTTGCATTCTGGCAGGGGACGCTGTGAGTGTAGAAAACGATTTATTGACAGAGTAGTGTTTTGGAAAATCTTTAGGAATTGTTTGGTGCATTTACCATGGGGC